TCACTCCACGCCTCTTGACGCCGCCGCGCCTGATGGCGACGATATCAACTGTACCTCAATGCCGCTACTCTTCTTATCATTAGTGACTGAAATAGGCGCCACGTTTTCTCCTTTTTCTGTTTACGCGCTGCATCTTTTAACCGCTTGTTAGTCTCTGCAGCTATCTGAACTCTGATCTATCTATATCTCTATCTGAACTCTGACTCCACTTCTAAGAATCAGTTTTCTATCGAATGCCAATGAAAAAGTTAGCTGTTGGATATGTACTACAGGCCCCTCAGCACTTTCAGTTGGTGTTGCTGCGGGAAATGGCTGACAGCTGAGATTTATTTCGTCCACAACAGAACTGGTCGACTAGTTGTCCTTGAGACTGCATCAGAGTTCATGGGCCGTAAATCACTTAAAAAAAGCTACTGTAAAGCAGTGGTTGACAACATTGCATGAGATCTCCAAGGGCAGGAGGGCGAGGCCTGTCCAGGCTGAAGTTGATGTTGAGGAAAACTGGTCATTCAGCACAGCCTCACACTCGTCCCCTTCAGCTGTGTTTCAAGTGCAACCTCTCTCAGTTGCAAAGTACAACTTCATCCACTTCGTTAACTGCTCTCACTTACACTTTCCCAGAAAAAAATCTCTTCAACCGGGAGAGAGAGATGGTGAAAATGATGAAAGTCAGCAAGATGGTACAAATCCCTTCTCATTGCCCTCGTACCCCTCTAGCCTCGATACAGACCCTTCGCAGCGAGCCAAAGACCTCCGTCGCCCTGTTCAGTGCTTGGGCACTCACAGGATTCGAAACCCTCTATGTGAAGGCCGCGAAGAGAACCTTCTACCAATTTTGCGTCAGGAACCTGTAAGGGCTCGAAGTTGCCCTAGTGGCCCTTCCTGACTCCACCCCACTTTGCTGTTTGTCCTTCGTCTGTACGCTATTTCTCTGCCTTTGTGTAGACATCTGGACACCACATGCCTCTGAATACGAATTCCTCGTTGAGTATGAAACTCCCTGCGCTAGACGAGCCCTTTTTTCTTACTTGGTTGACGTTTTCCTTTTATTCTGTGTGGTGATTAGGGCACCTCATGTCTCTTAACGAAATTTTTTTAACAGCACACGACCACCACCTCGATCCTTAAGTACGACCCTCCCTCCTTATCCTACTTACCACCATACTGAGCAACTTCCTGCCTTTTCCCTCAACTTTCCGAAAGTTTCACGCTCATTTCGGAATTTTATCGTCGAGCGCGGAGAACGCTGTATAGCACGTGTGAAACGGGAAAAACCGCGAAAAGTCAGCACCGACCAAATCGCCGAGTGAAGACATCTCCTGTCCCAGAGCGTCAGTGAATTACTAGTAGTCCACACCCCCTCCCCCCCCCCTCCTCCTCCCACCGGAGTCTCCCAACGATATGGATAGCAAAGTGGAACATAAAGAATCGACTACAGAAGAAAATTTCTTCGGGTCAAATACGACGCCCGTTGAGGATTCGTCAGCGTACGACGTGTGCTGTAGTGTTGCCAGTCAGGTGACTCAGGAAAAAGGTCTAATTGTCCGAAAAAGTGGAGTGAAGCTGTGAAACGTCCAGGTTCCCATGAACTGATCAGTCGCATGTTTGATTCCCTTTCATAATGTTTGGTTTTATCAGCGTTATTGCAATAGATTTACGTCATTCCCTGAATCACTGTCATTCCTCCTCTCGCTTCTCTCTGTTTAATTCCTTTTTATGCCATGTCGTCATTAAAATATACCCAATAAATAACGATATGACCTCCTTCGAAGTTATACTTCTGTTCAGCAGCAGATGCGAGTTGCTGCATGTGGTTATACATCTTCATCGCAATACTATTCGGTTATACAATTGTTTTGATCGCGTTCTTCATGGGATGGTGTACATTGATGCCGACTCGGTACGTTACTATTTACCTCTTCTACTTCGAATCACAGGGCAGGTCCTACCGTTGGGGAAAATTCAGCAAACCAAGAATCCCCTGGAATTTCTTCCTCCTTCCACCCCCTCTTCCCTATCCTCCCTGCCATCTCCCTGAACTTCCCTGGCTCCTACCACTTCTCCGGCATTTTTTTTCTGAAAATCTCCAGAAACACTGCTATCGGAGGAGGGAGAAGGGGTATGGCGCACTTGGAACAGGAAAACCGGGGGAAGCTTAACAACCGAAAACATTTTCCCTATGGACGTATACGACCCCTCCCTCCAGCGACCAAATACCCACTTCGCCGGAAATCTCCACCGCAGGACGTGC